GGCTTCTCAAGCCGACGTATATAAGTACACATGAAACATAAGCTAAGAAGCATGATCTTCAAGATGGTACAAAATGCAATCCCAAAACAGGTCGGCAATGCACCCAAAAACATGTCGGCATTACGTCTAGGCCTCATTGCCTTCTTGTTCATCACCTACATATATATAGAGAGGGTGAGCTTGGATACTCAGTGAATGATATTAGAAATAAAGGTTTTGCATGATTGATATCCAGGGTCTCTTTCAAAACAAAACATAGCATACTTTACAATCAAGGGGAAAAATCAAGTTCACTGCCGGTCTTTCAAGTTCCTTGGAGGTTAATAACATCTACGTATTACAAAGGGGCGATGACATGTCAAGACAAGAGTGCAGTTGCATTATAGTCCCCTGGCACTAAGGACTTTCAAGACAAGAGTGCAGTTGCATTATAGTCCCCTGGCACTAAGGACTTTCAAGACATGTCATCAAAACAAGATAGTGCTTGATATACAAATAGGGATAGTCATTCATGCTAAATCAAATACTTTTCATCAAAACAAAGCAAAACGAGATTTATCAAAACAAGTATAACATAGCTTTATTAAAAATACCACTCACCTAGCTCTTCAAACGTCGGGGTCGAGACAAGCCCAAGTCCTACAAACACATGACAAAGCCTATTGAATGCACTTTCAAACAAGTTTCATATGCAAACCAATGATCTCAGAAAAACATGCTGGGCACTAACCAGGTCTAGGCCGAGGTTCCACACCTCCTTGCCGAGGTGTGTCCCCGAGGGCCACATGCAAGGAAAAGAGGTCGGGAAACTCTGGGTTTCCCTCTGCTGATGAACATGAAGAACATGAGTACGAAAACATGAAGAATATGAATGCTCATTTACAACCCGTTATTACAAAATCTGGGATTTTCATACTACGAGTTTGAAAACATGGACCTGGGTACCCATACTTGAAGTTCTTGCGGAAATAAACACAAAAACATGATTCTCTATGCAAGCTTCCGGATCAAAACAAGACTTTTTCTTCAAGAACGTATGAACATTATTTTCTCTTTCTAAAATCAGTTTCAAATTAATGCATGGCGTGCAAAACAGGTTCGATCATGCAATGCAGCTAGATAAACACATGGAACAACAAGAGTAAGCCAAGGATCTAACCTCAATACACGAATCTAACGCTTCGATCTCCTGGAATCAAGCTTGAAGACTTACTTTCTCACTCTAAAACTTCCTCTTCCTCCTAGAGCTTCTCTCTCTAAAAGGCAAGGTTATGATACCAAATGATAGTTTCCCTTACCCAGTTCTGGGGTTAACCCTCAGCGGGGACACGTGGCGGCGACTGGTTGGGTTTTCCCTGAAAAGGTGGCTGACAGACCAGACAAAGCATGGCGAAAGGGTGTTCAACAAGTAAAGCGGTATGGGCTCTCTGACGAGGCAATGACATCGGCTAACAAAAGGGCTTCGGCAACTAAGGTGACAATGACCTCGGCTAGGAAGGACAACTCTTGACTAAGCTGTGCCACACCTCGGTCTAGGTCGTGCCACACCTCGGTCTAGGTCGTACCACTCCAGGACGAGATCACTTGGGTGCAAAGGTAACATCTCGGCCAATGCGTCAAAGCAAGGATGGAGGTCAACAAAGGGGTTCCAAGATACTTCTAGGCTGAGGATGACATCGGCTCGGAATGGTCTAGGCGTAACGTAACCTAGGCTTGGCATAACATCAGCTAATCATAACTTAGGCAAGGCGTGACCTAGGTTTCGCATCAAGGAAGGAGCAAGGCAAGCACACAACACTTAGACAAATCACAAAGGCATCAAAACAAGACATGGATCTCACTCACTTAAGCAGAACGAGTCACAAACATACACATGCAAGCTTAACAAGCCATAATCATACAGATGCTCATGAACATGATTAAGACGTAAAATGTGGGTTCCTACACAAACTCCCGCTCCTTTTCACACCGCTCTAAGTAAGCACCAGTTTTGGGGCAATACATTACACATTTGGCAATCGGCAGTTTGCATATTTTTACGCACCGTCATTTTACCAAAGTTGAATCCTCCCCGCAACATAGGGCAATGGGGCATGTCCAATCTGCATTCCTTCCGACTAACATCTGTCATTCAAAAGCAATGGGGCAAGTCTACATTGGACTAAACGCAAACCGAGCAATGCTAATTGGCCTAAAATTCTCGTCAATTAAATAGTTGGAAGGATATTTACTTAGCAATTCCTTACAAATGGAGCAATATTATTTGTGATTAACACGTCTACCTCATTCGGTACAGGCCATCGTTGACACGTGATGTATTATTCAAAATCCTTACAATATTAGCACTTGATCGCCACTTAAAATCAGCAAAAGTCTCCTAGTACATCGTAATCTTTGCATTCGACACGGAGCGCCATCAGCAAAGGCCTACACCCATACCCGGGGGTTATAATACCGCAGGCCTACACCCATGCTCGGGGGTTAGAATACTGCAAGCCTACACCCATGCCCGGTGGTTAGAATACCTCAGGCTTACACCCATGCCCGGGGGTTATAATAGAGCAGGTCTACACCCATGCCCGGGGGTTATAATACCGCAGGTTTACACCCTTGCCCAGGGGTAATAATACCGTGGTTCATTTTTTAGCTGATATATCTACCTTATTTAATCTACATTATTTGGTTCAGGCAATCATTTCGATGCTCGGTACATATAAATATCTCTAGCTCGGCACGAAAGTCCATATTTTGAAGCGCTCTTTGCACTTGACTATATACTACACCCTCGCCCGAGGGTCATAATACCACGACCTACATCCTTTGCCCTGGGGTAACAATACCGTGGCCCATTGTTATGATTTGTTTGGAACTCATGTGATATAATTTCGTCCTATGATCGCCATCCTTTATATACATACATTCAAGCATACATGCAGTCATTCATTCATGCATTTTATTCATATCTAGAGTGTTCTTTATCAAAAAAACCTAAGAGCTATTTGAACAGCGTAACTCGGCAAGAAAAACTTTCATTCTTTCTATCGCAGACAATGAAAGTTTTGGGGCAATTGTGAGAGCTAGAAAAAAAAAATATATATCTGCATATTGGGGTTAACCTAGACAAGGCCTACAATAGGTCCGGCTCAAACAAATATCACACCCCCCCAATCTATATAATGGGGGGCATCCCAGAAGAGGAGGTATGTGCTCTTTCTCTACACTACACACTAACACTCTTGATTTTCATAGCTCTATTCTTTCAATCAAATGACTAACTTTAGCATCGGAGTGCCTCTGGCCAGCAACCTCAGTTAGGTGGTGCCGATCATGCTCATCTGTGTAGGTCTACTGAAGTAAACTTCATCTCTTCGTTGGATCTCTACAATCTATGTGAGAGGATATTCCATGGTCTCATAAGGAGATAACCTGATAAGTGTCATGATTTGTGTAATGTAGAGTAATGTTTCTCGACCACTAAATAACTTCTCTTTCCTTGGTGAGTTTAGCATTATTTAATTTTATTTTTTAAACCAACCACAAAATCGGGAATGATCTTCTATATAATAGGAGAAATTATTTAATGTTTTTGAAGCATTACTCTTTTTTACTTATAGATTAGACACATAATATGTTGACTCCTATAAATCTCACACAAAAGTAGTGGGATTAATAATTATTACTATAAAACATCACTCAGTAATTTTCTAGAAATAGTGAATAATTTCTCCTTGAGAGTGTTTAGACCTTTTTTGAGAACATATTTTTTTAATAACTTTCTGAATTTTTGATTAAAATGTGATATAAAAAAAATTAGTATGTTTGGGATGATTTTTTAACTTTTTATAAAAAGATGTACAAAAAATAAAGAGAATTTTTTTTTTTGACTTTTTAATATGTATTGTTAAGTTTTTAAGTTTTTTAATAATTTTTTTTTAATTTTTTTTTTACTAAAAAAGCCGCTGATAATTAAAGTATTGGGTATTTGGAAACCTACTTTTCCATCCTCTGATTTCACATTTTGTTTGTGAATACTTGTTTCAATTTTTTCTCTTATCCGATAAGTTATTGGTTGGTTTTGAGTACTGTCCCGCTGGGTGGGATTTATGAATTTATAATTGAGTGATTCGGAATCTGTGAGACATGATGAATTATAATTAGTGAAGGAAATATCCATTTAATGATTTGGACCAATTAATAATTTTTTTAAAAGGTTAAAAATCTTAAAAAATTATCAAAGTTTATACTAAATGTCTTGTATGTGTGCGAGATCCGAGGACCCGAGTAATGCTACAGATACCAATTTTTTTACTAAATAAATTATTAAATATTTTACTTGGTGTGGGGTCCGTAATTTTGTGAACCCCACACTTATAGAAGACATTTAGTCATTTATTTGATAAAAAAAAATTGGGCTATAACATTTTTCGTGGAACCCACATTATGTGGGTTTCATATAAGTTCCGAAACATTTGATAAAAATTTTAATAAAACTTTTAAGATACCAACATTGTACATATTTTTTCCTCTTCTCCATAGTAGACCACGTGAGGGGAATATTTGCATATTTTGAGGAATACAGAAAAAAGGAAGTTTTTTATTTTTTTATCGACAATGCTACGTAGCTCAAATTTTGTGGCTCAAAAATGGCTCAAATAGTCAAAACGACGTCGTTTTGAGTACAGAACAACATAAAAAAGACCAAAACGACGTCGTTTTGGCCATTTGAGCCACTTTTGAGCCACAAAATTTGAGCTACGAGACATTTTCCATTTTTTATTTTGGATAAAAAACGATGTCACTTTGGGCCCAAATCTCAGCCATCCATGTCTTATTGTTTTTAACCGCCTACAGAGGATGTGCACTCAAACCGAGAAACCACCCCGCTATTTTAATAGTACTTGAAATGAAACCAAAAAGGACAACGCAATCAATGATGCACAAGCATCAATAAATAAAAATTATTTATTTATAGTGTTATATATGTGAATACGGTACTTGATGTTTAAGATTTAAATTTTTTTCTCATTTCACTTTCTCACAGAGACACAGGGAGAGAACTAGAGAGAGAGAGAGAGAGAGACAATGAGCGGGCAAGGGAAGACAGTATGCGTGACGGGAGGGTCAGGGTACATAGCTTCATGGCTGGTTAAGTTGTTGCTCCAACGTGATTACACTGTCCGAGCCTCTGTTCGCGACCCTTGTCAGTTCTCTCTCTCTCTCTCTGTTATTTTCAATATTGGGTTGGGTTGTAATCTTTAGTTCTTGTAGTGGTCACTTTAGTTATCTCGATTTTGTTGAAAATAGATCATTCTAACATTTCCCATGCACTTCAATCTTTCATTTCGATTATACCAGTTTATTGGAACTGGAATTTTTGGCTGCTGCATTATATAATATTGGGTAAATTATATTTAACGTGCCGGTACTTTTTATTAAAATCTTACTTTGGTTACTTACACTTTCAATCCAGTTTCAATTTCACCCGTCTATTTATCTACCCTTAATAAAGTTAAAAGAAATTGAAATTGAAATTGAAATTAAAATTAAAATTAAAAGTGGAAAGGCTAAAGTGAAATTTTGGTGAGGGTAAGAATTAAAATGAGGTTTTAGTAAAAGTGAAAGAGTTTTAACGAGACAATAAAAATGTCACACATTCTTCAAATGATAGGTTTTGTCAACTTTTATAACAGTAGACGGATGAAAGGGTGAGATTACAACTTGACTTAAAGTGTATGTGACTGTTACAATTGAAAGTGACGGAATTAAAGGGAAATTTTAGTAAAAATGCAAGAAGTACTAAGTGTAATTAACCCCCTAATATTTTTGGATGATTTTGTGTTGTTTGGAGATAACGGGTTGTTTAACTATTTACAGAATTTCTTATGCTATTTGTGTGTATGCCTACAGAAATTTTTAGTTCCTAATTGTGTAAAATTGTGTGTAGTAATTGCCAATATCACTCTAATATTGTTAGGCCATCACTCTATGTTTAGAGAAGTAATTAGAGGATACTTCCGGAGAGTACTATGTGACATTGGTTCCGTAGCATCAATGGTTGTGAATCACTTTTTCAATCTTTTCGACCTTGGTTCCGTAGCAGCAAGTCAAAGAATTGGGAAATAGAACCGTAGTCCAAACCAAACCAAACCAAACCAATAGCATAGCAAAAATCTTACGAGTGAGACATGGTGACTCACCTTTGTTCGGTAGTTGGGAGACGTGAGATGACACACTTAGTGTGGGTTGTGGTTTCCCATTGGTCAGGAGCACCACATATGCAACGCTAAATGATGCTCTAGGACTATCTAATAATTTTCTTGTTCTAAAAAATACGTGTCATCATCAATCCAGCTTCAGAACCCATCATAAACTGTATCCTAATTGATAGATTGATTGTAACAAAATTCTTTCATAGTTGATTTTAAATAAATCATCTTTTAATACTGATGAAGTGAAATCGGACTCTGAAATTAGGAGAGAAGCTTAGGTCACATTTGCCCAAGGAATTAAAGTTTAGAAGTTAGGATTCTTACTTAAATCGCCTATGTTTTATTTTTTTTGTAGCTGTCTTGATCTCATGATCTGGTAGGAGCAATAACCATTCTAAACCCAGGATGTTACAAGGGTTTTGCTCCTACATTATCTCAAACTGAATTGGGTCTGACCTCACATCATCATCAAGTGAATTGGACAGTAGGAAAACAATAGAACTCTTTTGACCTCAATGATTTGGATGACTTTACTACGAGGTAGACTCTGTTAGAGTGGTAGTGTGGATCGTGATAAGTATGGGGCTTAGGGAGGTGTGGATTCCCAGACACACTTGCACTATATACACATACCCAAGTCCATGTTTTGTAGTTAGCACTTTTTAGTTTTTTTCCTGTTTGAAAGAAAGAAAGAAAGAAAGAAAAATGACAGGCACTTATATGCAAAGGGTAAATTACACAAATAGTCCCTAAAGTATACTTTCTATTTCGTTTTGGTCTCTAATCTTTAATTTGTTTCAATTACATCCTACACTTCACACACTGATTCAATGTGGTCCCTTCTTATATATGCCATAAACTTCAGGCAAAAAATTTTGGGATCATGCTTAAATAAGCCTTATATTAAGCTTTTAAAAGGCATTGAGGAATTTATTTCATTTTATTGCCAAAATGAATAGCAGACACATGAATTTAATAGAGGATAACAAAGTTACTTTTAAGAACTGAAATACATACCGTAATAAGTTAATTTTTCGTCCATTGAATTTCTAATTTCTTGCGTTAGTTCCTAAAAATCTTCTGACTCTCGCACTTTTAATATGCTGAGTTAATCCTTAAAATCTCCCTAAAACCTCAATTTTTCTATACTGCATGAAACCCTATTCTTCTATCCATTATTCAATCAATGTTATTTGGTATATATATTCTGTCTAAACTCCACTGCATTTATAGGAAAGAATCACATTTGAATCAATGTGCAATGTTTAGGGATGTAATTGAAACAAATTAAAGATTAGGAACCAAACTGAAATAGATAGTATACTATAGGAACTATTTGTGTATTTGTCATATGCGAAATTATTATACTATTTGTGCGATTTTTTATAAGCTTATAAAACTATAATTTTCCGTGAAAATGTATGAATTGATATAAATTTGTTCAAGTAGAATTTAGAGGATTGAATCAAGACTGGCATTTTAATCTCATATTGTGCTACTTGAAAATGCACCTTTTAATGGATTATGGTTGAGTTACCAGTTTTTCACATTTATTTAATACTTGGTAATAAAATGCAGCTAATCCGAAGAAGACGGAACACTTACTTGCACTTGATGGAGCTAAGGAGAGACTTCACTTGTTTAAAGGAAATCTACTGGAAGAAGGTTCCTTTGATTCTGCGGTTGATGGGTGCGACGGTGTTTTTCATACAGCATCTCCATGTTTTTTTACGACTTCTGATCCACAGGTGCACTTCATATTACGTTTTTTTCTCTTTTATTTTATTTATTTATTGTTGAACTGCCATACATCAACAGGATACAGTGATAGACTGCTAAATGTAATAAAATGCAGCTAATCCGAAGAAGACGGAACACTTACTTGCACTTGATGGAGCTAAGGAGAGACTTCACTTGTTTAAAGGAAATCTACTGGAAGAAGGTTCCTTTGATTCTATGGTTGATGGGTGCGACGGTGTTTTTCATACAGCATCTCCATGTTTTTTTACGACTTCTGATCCACAGGTACACTTCATATTACGTTTTTTTCTCTTTTATTTTATTTATTTTTTTGTTAAACTGCCATACATCAACAGGATATAGTGATAGACTGCTAAATGTTGTGGTCTCAAACATTGTTGATTATGTAATGAGTTGTGCTTTCCATTGGACCTTTTGTATAATGGTGTACGGAGAAGTAAAAACTTCGTGTTGTGCAATGTATTTCTCAATATCTGTTTTAGATGGTTACCAATCCCTGCAGGGACAAACCAAAACCTAAACTCATTCAACCTGTTCAACTTACCAATCTACCTGAGATCTATTGCTTTTCTCCATAAAAAATGAAAGATGGAGAAGGAAAAAAGGAAAAAGAGAGAAAAAAAAAAGTTATTGTTGCCTACAAGGAAAATCAAAACCTAAGCTCCTCTAACCCATTGACCAATTGGGGTAATCTATTTTTAAACCTCCTTCAGATTGACAAAAATGGCTAAATTTATCTCAAACATTGCTCTATGACATAAATAAAATTGGGGGACTGAGTTAGAAATATGTGTAGGTTGGGAAGTAGGCTTCTGTTTGTAGTGATTTAACCCACATTTGAAAGTGAGCCTTATTCTGGACACTATCTGCAAACTAGATCAGTTTGTAGATGCCCCTAACTGAAGATAGTAACTAGCATATAAGAACCACTTTATACAGACCCATTGCTATAAATCAACTTGAGTACCTATTGCCCCAACTAATAATGTTCAAAAAATTGATTAGTAATTGATTCAATTTAGATATCAGTCCTCACACAGAGTACGGTGGTTCTACGATCAGATGGGATATGACCATGCACATGTGATGGCAGATTCTTCAAAACTTGGTTATATACAAAAAAATTAAAAAAATAAAAATAAATTAAAAATTCATTCATTACACAGGTCATATAAATTATTCTTGCGTTGGTACAGCAGCACATTCGCATGCCTTGAGCAACCATTGTCCCTAATATACTTGTTTATTTGGTCATAAATAGTGATGGGTCATTTCATTCTTCTTCTTCTTCTTCTTCTTCTTCTTTATTTATTAATTTTATGATGAGGAACCTCCCCAAGGTAGGGCTACATTAGACCCACCTTTGCAGAGTAAATCTCAGATAATTGCAATCACCTGCAAACCCCAAGTATTGGTTATGCTAAGGAGACTAGTGAAAGTCGAACCTAGGATGTCTAGGTTTACAGTTCATCCCAGGACCCAACCCCTTTGCTGGTAGGCTCATCCATCTCTTGTTTGGTTTCTAGACGTTCTCAATTGTGATTGTTTTGATATTCCAAGTGAAGTTTACATCATTAACTACTTTGTTTTCCAAACTATCTTTGAGTGAGTGTGGTCTTTTTCTTTCCAGTTTTTGTTTCCAATCATTTGTATAGAATGGTATTTTTATCTGGAGTCCTCTTTGCTTGTGGACTTATTCACCTGGTGACATAGAAACAAATCTCAAGTACATAATCGATAAGAGCCATCTTCATAACATTGATATACATTGGTAGTATTCTTTTGTCTATTTGTTGATAGTAGATTAAAAGCTTCATTATATTTGCTTCATAACACTGATGGTTGATATCATGTAATTATTATTTTCAAATTGTTGCGTAACCATTGCAGGCAGAATTGATTGATCCAGCATTAAAAGGAACACTAAATGTTCTTGGATCATGTGCCAAAAGCCCAACTGTCAAAAGAGTGGTTTTGACATCGTCTATGTCTGCAGTTACATGCACTGGTAGGCCTCGAACTCCTGATGAGATAACGGATGAGACTTGGTTTTCCGATCCAGAGTTCTGCAAGGAAAATAAGGTACGAATTTGTGCAATTGTTTTTATTTTTATTTTTTATTTTTTATTTATATTTTTTTTTATCGTATTTGGTACTTATTTGTGCAATTGTTAATCATGTTCTTTTGCTATTTCTCTTTTACATGTATATTGGGCTAGTAAAACTCAGGCTACTAGCTCCCCAATTGGTAGAACCAACAATGGATGATGACCTTTTCTTTTTCCTTTCTTTTACGTTTTATTTTATTTTCATGAATGCTGTAAGAAATAATGTATAGAGAAAGAGAGAGAATAAATTGTATGTATTATTATTGATTGATATATTGATAGATATATATGTTATGGTTACAATGATTCCTATATATAGGAGAGGGTGAGTGTGTAGTAGGTGAGGAGTAGGTGAAGTGGAGGTGGTAGTGGTGTAGTGGGTTAGGTTTAGTGGAGTAGGTGAGGTGGTAGTGGTGTAGTGGGTGGATTTTAACAAATGCTTAAGTTACTATGTTAGTATAATGCTGTCAGCTATACATGAATGATTATTACTTGCATAAACTTACTTGTTACTTTCAAGAACAATGTTAGTTGTTACTTTAAATCAGTTGGAAGGAACCAAATAAAATGTGTTTGGTTGCTCAAATAGCCTTCTAAAAGCAATTAAAATTTTCCCCCAAAGCACTTCCCAATTTCTGGATAATACAGTTTCTACTTGAAAAACCCTATGTAATGTGATTCATGACTTGTGAACTAATCAATTCAACGCAATTCCCAAATTAGACAATAATCTAAATCATCTAACCAATATGAAAGTGATTTAGATTATCTCTGGCCATTAATAAATCTGACACAAAGATTTAACGTGGATAAAAACCACATTGGACAACTCCAATTGTGATAAAAAAACACGACGACCCAAGAAGGGTGAACAAATCCACTTACAAGAGAATAAGATGATTACAAGAGATCTCACCAAGCCCTACCACCTATGAATCCACACAAGCACTTGGAGACTCTAGCTCATCTTCATCACCCACTCTTCATCCAAGATTGTCCATGGTTGAGCTTGAATCCACAAACTCCAACACAGTCTGGATTCCATCGGTTGAATGCTCTTGAAAGGTTGATTCGATCCAAACCCCTTGATGTATGCAATTCGATCCATATGAGGCGACACACTCACTAATTCATCAAAGGAAAAAACCAATAAACTATCTTCAGATGATAATCCAAGGTTTCTTAGGACTGTCGTCTCAGCTATGGAAGAGGTAACCCTAAATTATGCAATTGAGGCAACTTAAAACAAAACAGGGTTGCGAAAATTGCTCGAGTGCATGAAATATCGCTCAAGCGGTGTGTCTAAGAGGCAGTGGAACAAACAAGTCACTTCGATCTAGTGGTAGAGTGCACGCTCCCAGTATCTCAGAGCTAAGCTTGAAATACTGAATGATCCATTTCAATGCTCGAGCGCACAATTAACAACTTGAGCGATCCAAGAAAATTCATAGGCTCAAGGATACAACTCAAATATGTTCGCGGATTTGACAAGCAAGGGACCTAACAATTTCCCCCTTTGGCAATTTCCGGACAAAACACTTCTAACAATCAAGTCCTAGCAAACACACACTCTAGACACAAACCCTAACTACTCTAAACCACTTGTGAAGCGAACCACTTGAAAAGAAAACAATAGGAACAACACAACCACAAGGGATAGATGGATAGAAATAGAGATGAATACATGATTAGCAAAGTGAATCAAGATATAGAAGATATAGAACAATCACCAAACTCTCCCCTTTTTTGACCAAGAGAGACAAAGGGACAACAATAACCAAGATTATGCCAATATAAAGAGAACAAAGAACCACAAAGCATGATAACATGTCCCAAAACCCAACAACTATCCAAGAATATCAACAATACATCCACAAAACATGTCCATAATATCCCAAAATAGGCCAAATGACAACAAAATATGGCCATACACGTGCAACATCAACAAAGGTAAGCATTAGACTAACCAACAAAATATGAGATGGGGCATGTCCAAAAGAGTAAATATGACAAGAAGATCATAGATAAAAACAAGTCCGAAAGTAATATAACCCAGAGAAATAGAAACATCATTGATATGGAGGCGGAGGAGGGTGCTACCAGTAATAGGATAGTAGCTGTGCAAGCTGAGAGGTGGCCTGATCCACCAAAGTACCAATGTTGCCAAGGTAGAAAGATGCCCATCAAATGCATCCACTCGAGCATCCAACTGGTCGAACCTCTGTGTCATGGCATGCTCGAACTGGTGAAGCTGTCCTCTAATGGTACAAGCATGGACTGGATGCTCCCCCTCACCGGCAGTCGCAACATCAAACTCAGCTCCCTTTTCCATTTGCTCCTCACCTGCATAAAACGAACCCGCTCCAGAAGACTCCCCCCCTTACATGTGCATAATTCTGGGAGACAGTCTTTTTGGTAAAAGGTTTGACAGGGCTAAAATGCTCATTATCATCAGAAGAAGCAACTTCAAGAGAGGATAGAGTCCTATTGATAAGGCAACCATAAGAAAGACCTAAGTTTTTCTTCACCTCGAAAACATATATCATTTTTTGAACAATCATGGTGGGAAGGTCAATGGAACGAAGCCTATCAATGCAATAAAGAACAAACCCTTGTTCTTGGTTGATGTCAGAACTATGGGTGGTGACATGAATGTGGGCACAAACGATGAGAATCAAAAGCCGGAATTGAGGGAGTTCATTTTGCTTGAAATCAGCAGTGGGAGAACCAAGGAAATGATACTGGCAATCAACAACCGGAGGAATACCAAAAGCTGTTCTAATCAACTCTTCAGTGACATGAATGTCTTTAGACTTGACCCAAGTTTTGAAAGAAGGATTGTACTCATCTATGGAGTGAATGTTGCAATAGAACTCACGTACCCAATCTATATTTTGGAGGCCAGAAAAAATAAACTTGTCACCCCCTAAGCGATTGAAGACATGGTGGATGGGAATGGACTCAAAAGTGTCTAGTTAGACATTTCGCTCTAAATGGACAGGCCGTGAATGAAAGAAATCTCTAAACAACTTGGCTTTCTCCTTAGGCAGAAATTTCTCGGGGTTGAAAGGTGGACCATTAGTGGTGGTTTTGGTGCGCTTGGAGGGTTGAGACATGGTGAAACCTGGGGAAACACAACAACACACAAACAACCAAACCCACAACCCAACAAGCAGACCCCACCAAGAGACAAGAACAAATAGCCAACCCTCAAACCCAACCATTCAAAAACCCACCAACATCAGTAACAAACAATATATACAATGATGACCAATAAACTAAGATATTAACTAAAAAATTAACTAATTACTCAAGCATAATAAAAAAAATATATATATAAAAGCACTAGACAAGTTTATCAAAAAAAGAAAAAAAGAAAAAAAAAGAAGAACTAGATTTAGGAACAAACAAACCAAATAAACAAGAAAAGAAAGAAGAAAAACAAGTATTAAAAGAAATTCGAACAAATAAAGCCCTAGAAAAGAAAAGAGAGAAGAAATAACAAAGAAATATTTACAATGAGTGATGAAAATCACAAATGTGGGGCACAAATCTAAGAAAAATGAAGTGGAAAATGCAATGGAGGATCGAGAACACCACCGGAGATGAAATCGCCTAAGAGAGAGACAATGATGAGAAGTTTGGGGAAAATAGAACCGAAGAGACAGATCTGAGAATTAAAAACCCGTACAGACAGCTCGAGCGACCACTTCACTGCTCGAGCGACCACTTCACTGCTCGAGCAAACTCATTTAAACACGCACGGGGCCGCTCGAGCTAAGACTCTATCACTCGAGCATGAAACACATGATCCCAGTATTTCAGACTGCAGACAAAACTTCTAGAAAGAGTGCAACACCGCTTGAGCACAATAAACACTACTCAATCGGTCACTAAAAACAAGCAGGGCTTCCAAAGTCCTCAAACACACCCATGAGCCTCCAAAACACACTCACAAACAGAATATCTCCTGAAACAGAGTCATATGAGCAATATAGCACAAAGTGATACAAAGATGTACACATCATGAGTCACTCAATCTTGCAAGATAGACAATATGAACATGGAAAAAATTGCAAACAAGATAGAGCACAACAAATGACATAGACAACACATGAATGCAATGCTCAAAGGGAAACATGACATCTTACAAAGAAAGTGTGTGTGCAATCTTTGAATGTCTACAATTGCTAGAGTTAATCCTAGTAGTGATCGGATGGTTGGACCTCCAACAAGTAAATCTGTGATTGACTAAGGAATGTCAAACCACTAGTGTTCAAGAGGTATTTGTTGAGTAAAAACATAGGCTCCCCCTCAGACAAAGAATACCATTTTCTTGCGCAATCACCGGCTGCTTTCATGCTCGTGAGTTTGGAAACCGAACTAGAGAGAATGGAAAGACTAAAGTGAAGCCTGGTTGGTGACTCTAAGGTAGCCATTTCCTCGTGCCATGAGAGACGTGAATAGAGAAGTAAGCCGTGGAGATGCAAAAAGATGGTCAAGGGTTAAGAGACTCAACATCACCCAAGATATGCTAGCATAGGTCAATTTCTCAAAAAAAACAAAAGATACAATGCTAGAAGTCTGTAGAGAAATTTGATCACTTATGCAAAAACCCCTACGATTGCTTCACTCAAGGATGTGTACAGAATGGGATCGTGTAAACAAAGGGCATACACATTCATCATGAGTTATGTACAAACACACATGAAACCTTGTTTGCAAAAAGAGAGATGTTCAAATATATCTATGTGCAAAGAAGAAGTGAATCATAGTCAATGAGAATATATCATCCAAGCACACAAAATACAATATAACACACATCTACTCATGCAACAAGTCACACCCTAGTCAATAAGCAATACACCTAAGGTCTTTCTAAAGAACTCAAACCTAAGAAGATCAAGGGGTTTTGTAAAAATATCAAGTCTTTGATGCTCAGTAGGTACATGCTCAAGAACAACAAGACCCTTC